AGGCACCTAACAACAACATGCATTTGATCTATAGATCAATTTAGAAATAGTATCTAAATGTTGAGTGCTTCAATTCATAAACATAACTGTCCTTTTATTTAGACCTTAATTTTTGTCAGCAATCGTTTTTGTTTTTTTTTAATTTTCTGTGTATAGGTCTTGTAACCAACAGGGTTAAACTCTTCCCTCTCTTCCCATCATACCTGGGTCTGTGAGTTCCTGATAAGGCATTCTGTGTAGCAGCTCAAGGCTGTCTTACTGCTTCTCTGCTCAAGGCTGCTTCACTACCATCCGCCACCAACTCCATTCAGACATGAGCAATAAGCCGCAAAGCTGTCCTTAAATGAAGTTCATGTCATATCCCCCCAAAAACACATGCCCCCTAGCTGCCATATTGCACCCCCACACACTACATTTCTATACATGTTAGTTCCTGGAATTGCCCATCTATTCCCAGAAACTTCACATATTATGCATAAATTCCCAATCCTGAACCCTATAACTGCCCTAGAATCCCAAAACTCAGAGAGCTTGATTTGAGACTTAGTCTCAGAGCTCCTTGCTTGACTGGCTTGCAATGTAGTCTACTTTCTCTTTCTCAAAGTCCTGGTGTCTCTCAGTTGACTCGAGGGGTCCTGCTGGGCAGGACCCACCCGCATCATATTAGTCTTACATATCTTCTTTATCTATAAATATTTTATATATGTGATATATAATGTTTTACTTTAATTTCCATTTATCCATTGCTATTACACAGAATTACAAAGTTTTGTATATTATTCTTGTATCTTGAAAACGTTAAGTCTCAGGAAGGTGGGCGGGAGAGAAAGGATGTTACAAAGGGGTAACAAATGAGTAATGCTAACAAGAGCTGACATTTGAGCATATCCAAACACCACCAGGCAGTTGACAACACCGTGTCGTCTGATCGGCACACCAGCCCCAGGAGGTAGTTCCGTCCACACTCTCTCTCTTTTCACAGATCAAGGAGCCCAGGCTTCCAACGGTGATTAGATTACCCAGATCGTTGTTGTTGTTAGTCACCATTGAGTCAATTCTGACTCCTGGTGACCCCATGTGTGCAGAGTAGGGTATTCAAGGCTGTGAACTTTCGGTAGCAGATCACCAGGTCTGTCTTTTAAGGGACCCTTGGGTGCGTATGAACCGCCAACCTTTCAGTTAGTAGTACAGTGCTTAATCATTTGTGCCACCCAGAAACTTCTTCCCCAGTTTACTCATTGTCATCGAGTTTATTCCAATTCATAGCAACCATACAGGACAGAGTAGAACTGTCCATAAAGTTTTCTAGGCTGTCATCTTTACAGAAAGGAGCTCTGGTTGCACAGTGGTTAAGCTATTGACTGCTAAATGAAAGGTCTGTGGTTCAAACCTACCAGCCCCTCCATGGAAGAAAGATGTGGCAGTCTGCTTCTGTAAAGATTACAGATTTGGAAACCCCACGGGGCAGTTCTACTCTGTCCTATAGGATCACTATGAGTCAGAATCGACGGCAATTGGCAAATTATATGAAAGCAGACTGCCACATCCTTCTCCCGCAGGGCAGCTGGTGAGTTCGAACTACCAACCTTTTGGTTAGCAGCCAAATGCTTAACCACTGTGCCACCAGGGCTCCTTTTGCCCACTTTACAGAGGAGAAAACCAAGGCCCCCAAAGACCCCTGAGTTGCCTTGAGTCATGGCTGGGATGTAGCATAGCTGGGAACGAAGCCCACAGACCTGCACCTCTACCCCACAGGCCTCCTGCCCAGTGTCACTGAACATGGTCAGGGCCAGGGCTCCTTCTGTCTTGGCTAAACAAGGCTATGGACAACTCAACTGCCCATTTTAACCATCACAGGGACAAGGAGGAGACCTAATTTTTCTGTGTCTCAGAAAACAGCACTTTGGCTTCTCTCATGCAAAGCAATCTAAACAGGAGTCCAGGCCATACTTCACACTCCCACAAGTGGGAAGGGTTATCTCTTGCGCACTGAGGGAGGGGAAGAAGGGTCATTCCTAAGCTGAGGTCTCGCCTCCTCATCCCATCCATCCACATATCCTGTCACTTCTGCCTCCTCGCAAGTCCCAGGTCACCCTCTCCCACCACCGCCAATGCCACCATGCTAGGACAGTTTGCCATCAACTCACTGTTGGAACCTACATTGGCCATCACCCACACACTAATGGAAAGGTCGGCAATTCGAACCCACCCAGTGACTGTATGGGAGAAAGACCTGGCGATGTGCTCCTGTGAAAGATTACAACAAAGAAAACCCTATGGGGCAGTTCTACTGTCCCATGTAGTTGCTATGAGTCGGAATTGACTCGATGGCAACTAACAACGCCGAAGAGGTGTAAAACAAAGCAGATAGTGTCCCAACCTACTGACCAAGCCCATTGCTGTGGAGTTAATTCAGACTTACAACGACCGTATAGGACAGTAAAACTGCCCCATAGTTTCCAAGGCTGTAATCTTTACAGAAACAGACTGCCACATCTTTGTCCCATGGAGCCGCTGGGTGGGTTTGAACCACTGACCTTTCCGTTAGCAGCTGAGCGCTTAACCACTGTGCCACCACAGCTCCTGGTGATGTCCTGGTTCTGCTTAATTTCTTCCTCAGCTGCCTCCCAGAGCAGTTAGAACAAAACCTAGATTTCTCATTACGACCTATGAAGCCCTGTCAGTCTTGTCCTGCCCCCCTCTAGACACGCATGATGTTCCCTTTGCCAGTAATGCTCTTTCCCACCTTGAACCTGGCTAAGGCTCCTTCATCGTTCATGGGGTGCACACGTCTCCTTATCTTCACCTCCTCTTCCCATGCTTGAACATCCGTCTTGCCACGCTGACAGAAAAGAGATGCCCGGGAGAAGTGACAGAACCAAGGTAACCTGGTTCATGACAGGCACAGTTCAGAAGGGCTGGAATCCCGATGTAGCCCAGTATCCAAGCACTTAGCCACCAGACCACGCTTCCAAAGGCACATCTGTCCTCCCACTCCCAAGTCTTGCTTTTTAATATTTTATCGTATTTTTGGTGAAAATACACACAGCAAAACAGGTTCCTATTCAACAGTTTCTTCAAATAATGTTCCAAGATATTGGATACAATCTTCAGTTTGTCAACATTCTCATTATTTCCATTCTAGCTGTTCCACCCCCATTAATTTAGTCTCACTGCCTCCCCGCCCCAACCCCCACCCCGGCCAAACTTCTCATCTGTGCTTTAGAGTAACTGTTGTCTGTTTGGTCTCAAATAATTTTTTAAAAACCACTGTTCTCAAGGGTGAAATTCTTTACTTTTAGAGCTAACCTGTTAACACTAGTTCCTGACTTACAATGGGGTTCCGTTCTGATGACTCCATCGTAAGTTGGTTCTGATATAAGTCTAATACCTCATTGTTTTTTAGTTTTCATTATTGTATCTTTTTATTATCAGTATCTTTACAAATTCGATCTCTGAACATCTGCAAGTGAACACCTGAGAATGATAACATCAGCAACGTAAGCAAATTACACGCTGCAACATTGTATGTAGTACGTATTCCTAATGATAAGATGTACAATTAAAAAAAGGGCGGTTGTAAGTGCAGTGCATTGTAGCTCGAACACGTTGTACGTTGGAGATTACCTGTATTTAGTTAAAAGATGACTTTAGGAGATTGTTTCTGCTCAAGGCTTAAAGCTTATCTCAGGGCAATAATCTGGGGTCTCTTCCACCTCCAAGTTTTGACCCTGCTCTTCATGTTGTTCTGTGAGGACGATGGTACACTGTTGTCATAGCACAGATGAGTTGCCTGATCGTACCTGTGTTTTCATGTGTGTTTCCTACCCTAGATGGTGAGCTCTTGCCCTGCTCAAAGGCAAGGCCCATGTCTCCAACACCCATGTGTCCCACTGCCCAGGACAATGTGTGTGGTTGTGTGGATGAGGAGCAGCCTCTCACGACTCTTGCCCACCATACGAGCAACAGCAGAGCTGACCCCTTGAACACAGAAGAGTGGACGGTGAGGGAGCAAAGCCCAGGGGCTCCTTCCTCCACTGGACTGCCTGTCACTCCTGCTTTGGGACAAACAGAGGCTCAGGTCTCTGTGTGGGCCATGTTATACCAAACAGTCCTCAGCTGTGGAAAGAAAGGCTCTTTTCTGAGAACCACAGAGTGTTTGGGGAGCAAGATCAGCCTCCAATCCCTGCAGTGCAGAGGTTCCGCTAGGGGTAGAACCATGCTTACAGCACAGCCTGGGCACCTGAGGAAAGAAGGGGTTTCTCTTCCACATGAATCGCCAGATGTTATGTTTAAGATTTTTTTCTCTAGCCTGATGACTTGCCACAGTTGATACTTGTTATTTTGTTTTTGTTGTTGATTTGTGACTTAGGAGACCCAGTGTGCGACAGAGTAGAACTGCCCCATAGGGTTTACTTGGCTGTGATCTTTACAGAAGCAGATTACCAGGTCTTTCTTCCAAGGTGCCGCTGGGTGAGTTCGAACCTCCAACCTTTCGATTAGCAGCTGATTGCTTAACCATTGTGCCACCAAGGCTCCTAGACATGTGTACATATATGTATACACACACACATATATATGCCAGGCAACTTTTCATTCTGTTATTCATAAGGTCATCATGAGTCACAGGAGCTGGCTTGACAGCAACATACATATACACACGTGTATATATATAATACGTATAAATATGTTATACATATATATTTACAAATGTTATATATATGTACTGTATGTAAATGTATGTTTACATATACTACATATATTGTTGTTGGGTACCATCAAGTAGATTCTGACTCATAGTGACCCCTTGTGACAGAGTAGAACTGTCTCACAGGGTTTACTTGGCTGTGATCTTTATGGAAGCAGAGTGCCAGGCCTCTCTTCCAAGGTGCTGCTGGGTGGGTTCAAACCACCAACATTTTAGCTAGTAGCTGAGCATAAACCATTGGTGTGCTACCCAGGGATCTTCACGGTCCTTGTTATTTTAACAAGGTCTTTGCCTGACATGAATTCTCTGATGCCGACTGAGGTCTGCCTTCTGATGAAAGGCCTTCCCACACTGTGTACACTCATAGGGCTTCACCCCACCATGAATCTTCCGGTGGGTACTGAGGGATGAGCTATAGCTGAAGGACTTCCCACATTCGCTGCACTGGTAGGACTTCATCTGCGAGTGGCTCGTCTTGTGTCGGCTGAGGGAAGAGCTGTCGCAGAAGGCCTTCCCACACTCGCTGCACTCAAAGGGTTTCTCTCCCGTGTGGGTCCTGCTGTGCCGAATGAAATCAGAATTGTGGCTGAAGGCCTTCCCGCACTCGTTGCACATGTAGGGCTTCTCCCCAGTGTGAGTCCGCTGGTGGTCAGTGAGATGGGACCGGCGGGTGAAGGACTTCCTGCACTCGTCACACTCATAGGGCTTCACGCCACTGTGAATCCGCTGGTGCTCTGTGAGGTGGGACCTGCGGCTGAAGGCCTTCCCACACTCGATGCATGCATAGGGCTTCTCCTTGGTGTGGTTGCTGCAGGGTCGCGTGGCAGCTGCCCCCTCAAGAAAGGCTTTGCCGCACTTGCTGTATTCCGGTGGCTTCGCACCAGCCTGAGTCCATTGACTTCGCACGAAAAGATTCTTGTCAAACATGTCCTGTTCCTTGCACTTGTGTGGGTTCTTCCCTCCATGAATCAAGCGGTCTTGGCCTGTCTCATGTGAGTCACACTCATAGAGAGCATCTCCTGGAGGGACTCGTTCCTGTGAATCCTCAGAGCACAGAATGTCACCTGTCTCCATGTCGTCACATTCAGGGCTCATCTCCCCAGAGGAGGTTTCCTTCTGGGGGGCTCTCCTTGTCCTCAATTGGCCTCTCTGTATTTCTGATGGTCTTTCCCATCTCCTGGATCGCCCCAACCTGGAATCACCAGAGTCTCCCTCAGTCAGTCGCCCATGGAGTGAAGGTCCCTCAGACAAAGCCAGGTAAGAAAGTGTTGGCTCAGTGGTGTCCAGTTTTGCTCTGTCACCTGAAGGGAATCCAATAAAGGGCCCTGTTAGTGATGCCAACGTAGATGAAACAAAGTACGTCAGGGTGAAAAGGAAGATGCAAGCAGTGTCTCTTGTGCCTGCTGAGTTTTGCCATCTCTGAAACTCAGGTTTGCAGTTTCTTTCTTTGCTGGTCCTTGGACTCTTGACACCTTTAAAGGGGAAGTAGTGAGGAGGCAGGGGACAGAGGGATGGAGGGCAGCCCTCTCCTCACTGTCCAGAGAGGGGCTGGGTGGACAGAACAGCAGTGACATTGTGTGTGCTGGGTTTGCTCTAAGAAACAATGTCCCTCCAAGATACAACAATCGGTCTCTAATCGCCTGGAGCAACAGGGAGGAGATCTGGGAAACAGAGAAGGAAACAGACTACAGGTCTAATTGCCTCCATGAACTACTACCTCCTTTGCCATGAGACCAGAAGAAATGGATGGTGCCTAGCTACCATTACTGAACACTTTGATCAAGGATCCAATAGTTGGATCCAATAGTTGGATCCTTGATCAAAGGGACAGAAAAAAATGTGGAACAGAATTTCACATTCTTACTGGAAACCAAGACTTACTGGATACATTGTGACTGGAGGAACCTTAAATCTATTACCTAAAAACAACTTTTTGTGTGTGTGTGTGTGTGTGTGTGTGTGTGTGTGTGTGTGTGTGTGTGTGTTACATTGCATTTTATTTGCTTATTTCCCATCTAGGTTATTCCCTAGACTCTCCCAGGGCAAGAGCATGATGTCGTGCATTTTTGTCCCCCCGCCCCCCCAACAGCCTGGGGCACTGAGGTACGGGAAGCGCTTGGGTGAACAAATGTCTGGGTAAGGAAGTGAACGGATGGATGCAGGAGGTGCGGTGAGGTGCTGAAACACCGCAACAAAGTCTGCCCATGTGTAGGAGGAGGGGGTGCGAGGCTCAGATTAGACCCATACATGCAGGCTCAGTGATAACCATCCATGTCCAACAGCACTCCTGGAGTGCAGACCACGGCAGCCACGCAGTCATGCCAAGTGGCTTCACCTGGCTGTGCCTCGCTGGCCCTCCAGAGTGGCTGTGAGGCTGAGGAGAGACGGCAGAGCGCTGCCATGGGCTGAGGGTGCATCCTTAGCCGGCATGAGACCTGCTGCTTCCTGGCTGTGTGTGAAGCAAGGGGAGGAAAGTGTGCAGCAGAAGGGGGGAAGGGTCATGTGGCTGTGTGTTGAGGCCTGGGACCAAGGGTGAAAATGACTGAAGGGGCCACGGCCAGCTCTCAGGCCACTTGGGGCTGCAGGGCCTTCTGGAGCAGGTGCTCATCCGCCACCTCGTGTGGGAGTGTCACCACCAAGCCCTTGTTCTCTTGCATCGTCTGGCAGATGATATCATAGGCCTTCCGATTTCCAGACCAGCAGCGCCGGGCCACCCCATTGGAGACATCCCAGCTGAGCATCGCCTTGGCTCTCTGCTCAGCTTCTTTGGTTCCGTCCAGCACAAGGCCAAACCCCCGCATTGATCACCTCACCCCAGCCCACGCCCCCTCCGTTGTGAAGTGCTACCCAGATGGCTCCTCGAAAGGCATCTCCCACGAAGTTCTGCACAGCCATGCCTGCACAGAAGGCAGAGCCATCGTAAATGTTGGAAGTCTCCCTGAAAGGGCTGTCCATGCCACTCACATCATGGTGGTCTCAGCTCAGGACCACTGGTGCCTTGATCTTCCCCTGGGCAACGGCATGGTTGATGGCCACCGCAATGGCTACACAGCCCTTCTGGTCAGAGTACAGGATCCTCGCCTGCGAGCCCACCACCAGCTGGTGCTTGGCAGCCTCATGGATCCAGCGGATGTTGTCCATATACTGCACCTTCACGGACGAGTTCACTCCACCAGCAATGGCCTCTTCCAGCACAGACGTGGCCAGCCGGTCTGTGACAGCCAGGTCCTGGGGGTCCCCTGACGTGCACACCCAGCAGAAAGGCCCAAATCCCTGGGAGAAGATGTCCCCCATAATGTGCTGGACATACGAGGGGTAGTGAAATTCTGTCTTATTGGCCCGTTTCTTCTCCACGTCAGCTCCTGCTCACTGGGCCTCCAAGAGGAAGGCGTTGCTGTAGTCCCAGAAGAAGAAGTTCTCCTGAGCCAACCTGTTGATGGCTGAGACCTGCCTCCTCAGGCTCTCCTGCATCAGGCTCTTGAATGCTTCAGGGTTGGAGGCCAGGAGGTTCTGGGCCTCCAAGAAGCCAAGCTGCACAGAGTAGTAGCCACCATTGAAGGGGGTGTGAGAAGATGTCTGATCTGACCAAGGTCCACCAGGAGATCCCGTTGAATCCAGCTCATGTACCAGGTGCTCTCAAAGATCCACCACGTTGCCATGGTAGCCAAGGCTGAGCACCTCCTTCTTTTTCCTTGCTTCCCTGAGCCTCTGGATGCAGTGGTCCAGGCTGTCAGTCACCTCCATCATCCAGCCTTGCTTGTGGTGCTTCTCAAGCGCTACTTTATCCACCTCTGCTATCACCCCAATGTACCACACAATGACGGCAGCCTTGGCCTGGGCCCCACTCATTCCACCGAGTCCAGAGGTGACAAAGACCTTCCCAGCCAAGTCCTCGATGCCCAAGTACCGGCACCCGGCGTTTAGCAGGGTGAGGACTGTGCCGTGGACGATTCCTTGGGGACCAATGTAGCAGTAGCTGCCTGCTGTCATCTGACCATACATCGTGACTCCTAAGGCAAAGAGCTTCTCATACGCTGCCCTGGAGAAGTAGTTGGGAATGACCATTCCGTTAGTGATGACCAGTTGCGGGGCGTCAGGCTTGCTAGGGAAGAGGTCCAGAGGATGTACACTGTACATGACCAAAGTTTGCCCCTCTGTCATCTGTGCCAAGCAGGACATGACTAGCCAGAACTGAGCCAAGTTGTTGAACACCTGCCTACTTCCTCCATAGGTCACGAGCTCCTGGGGAAACTGAGCCACCACTGGGTCCAGGTTGTTCATGATCATGTACATGATGGCTGCAGCCACCTTGGTCCGGCACAGGTACTGCTCGACGGGGTAGGCCCTCGTTTCAATATTGCAGCAGAACCGGTACATGCAGATGTGCCCATACAGACGCAGCTCTTGGGCAAACTCAGGGGCCAGCAGCTCCTGGACGTGCGCAAGCAAGCAGTGAAGAGCATTCCTCAGCACCAGCTTTTGAGACTGAAGCAGCTCGACTTCCTGTGTCCCTTGTTTCTTCAGCTTCTGCTTCCTATGGCTTCTTGGCCCTCGGGCCTCATGCCCGCATCTGCCCTGCTGGGGCAAGTGTTCCAAAGCTCAGGAGCTCCATCGGTATAAGTGACCGGAGGCACCCCACTCCACCGGAAAGCCTCGTGCACACAGACACTCAGCTCTCTCGCTCTGTGGGTCGGCAAGCCTAGCTCCACCGGTAAGTGCCCAGAGGCACCCCGCTCCACCAGGAAGCCTCCTGCTCACAGGCACTCAGCTCTCTCGCTCCGTGGGTCAGCTCCAGTGCCGTCTTTCACCGGTCTCCTGGTTCTGCTGCTGCTGCTTCTCTGCTGCTGTAGGTTCTCTGCTGCTGCTGGTCCTCTGTCACTGCCACACATCTATCCATTCACAGTTTTAAAACCGCTTCCACATTTTAGGTATCTGTTAGAGCAGCACCCCACTCTCTTGGTACCAAATTCTGTCTCAGTCATCTAGTGCCACCATAACAGAAATACCACAAGTGGATGGTTTCAACGAAGAGAAATTTATTTCCTCACAGTCAATGTAGGCTAAAAGTCCAAATTCAGGGCGTCAGCTCCAGGGGAAGCCTTTTTCTCTCTCTGTCGGCCTTCTCATCAATGTTCCCTCGGACTAGGAGCTTCTCAGCACAAGGACCACAGTCCAAAGGATGCGCTCTGCTCCCGGAACTGCTTTCTTGATGGTATGAGGTACCCCCTGGAAACTTTTAGGTCTTGAACCGAGACTATCACATGAAGTCACCTTTAAACTAAACAAAAATTTAGCTCATTTAATAAAGAATGTTCACCTTGAGCATTGCACTCTTTTAAAGAATTATCTATATGGGATTAAATAAACAAGGGTAACTAAAACACAGACAAGGATTTTAAGGGGTAGACAGCCTGGGTTAACAGTGGTGAAACAATAGGGGCAGAGTCAGGGAGAATGCTGACACAATGTGAAGAATGTAACCACTGTCAATGAACTGTACCTGTAAAAATTGTTGAGGGGTATATGTTTTGTTGTGTATGTTTTCACCAAAAATAAGAAATATAGGAAGGAAGGGACGAAGGGAGGGAGGGAGAGAGAAAGTGAGGAAGGAAGGAAGAAAAGAAAGACAGAAGAAAGGAAAAGGATGGAAGGGAGGGAGAGAGGAAGAGAGGGGGGAAGGAAGGCAGGCAGTCAGTTCCATGGTGCTACACAAGCCCAGGGAAGGGGACACCTAACCCAGCCAGATAAGAGCGAGAAAGAGACGTGTCAGAGGTGCCTTATAAGCTGAGTCGTAAAGGAGAAGTAGGTATTACCATGTATAGAAATGGGGACACTGCAGGCAAAGGAGACAGAATGTCCAGAGAGAATCCTGGATGCCCAGGGAATTGTAGCGGCAAAAGAGGATGGTGGGAGCATGGAGACAAAGGCAGGCAGGGAACGATACAGCACTGAGTCCCAGGGTTCTGATGCAAGTGACAGTGAGGATGGCCACTGCCATGCCCAGGACAGGGTCAACATGGCGGAGGAGGAGGAAGATCTAGGGGGATGTATTACACCTACTGTACACAAGGAAACACTAGGAGAATGGATAGCAAATTAGACAAGATCTAGAGAAATTATAAACATGTACCTCAAGATAGTAAAGAAAACCTATAAAAATGGAGAAATTACTAACATAAAGTTGTCAATTCTCCCCTAAATCGATCTACACATTCACTGTTGTTATTATAAGGTGCCATCAAGTCTATTTATGACTCATAAAAACCCACTGCCACTGAGTTGATTCCGACTCACAGTGACTCTACAGGACAGAGTAGAACTGCCTCATGGGGTTTCCAAGGCTGTCATCTTTATGGAAACAGACTGCCACATCTTTCTCCCACGGAGCAACTGGTGGGTTTGAACTGCTGACCTTTCAGTTAGCAGTGGAGTACTTCACCACTGTGCCACCAGGACTCCCGTCATACATACATAAGTAAATAAATTTGGACTACAAAGCCCTACAGTTCCTACTAGGAACAAGAAACAGAAGTACAGAGTCTTTATTTTCAGCAGGAATTTGGTCCAAGCCTGGGACATCAGTGTTTGGGGCATGGAGAAGGTTTGAAGTGATGGCTGAGCGGCTGGGGGAGCAGGTGCGGGAGGCTGAGGTGATCAGAGGCACAGAACAGATGTGGGCAGACCTGCCAGGAGCTCAGGGAGGGGGGTGGACACAGGTTCAGGAGACATATCTGATGAGAAATGGACAGGAGGTAAGCTGGATGTGAGGTCTGACAGAGGCCAATGTCTAGAGGGACTGTTGTTGCTCAAGGTCATTCCTGGCCTTCACTTCTTGGGTGGAAGGGCCATTTATTAAAACTAGGGTCCCCAGGAAGGACATAGCATGAAGCTTCCTGTAGAATTCCAGAGGCTGTGCCTCACTCCCAGTCAGCAGGGTGCAGCAACCCTCACCTGCTTGGGTCTCAGTCACTCACCTGGACAGGTGCCTTGGGAGGGACCTCTCTTCACCACCCATAGCTCCTGCCTGTGCTCCAGTAGGTCAATCAATTCTGGTTTAGGCACAGGACGCCCTGTTTGTGGAGAAATAAGACACAGGTGTTTTGGTAAACACACACACACAAAAAAAAGAAAAACCTCTACGGAGGAGTCCCTGGGTGATGCAAAGAGTTAAGTACTCAACTATTAGCTGATTGGTTGGCGGTTCAAACCCAACCAGAGGCACCTTAGAAGAAAGGCCTGAGGATCTGCTTCTGAAACATCACAGCCTTGACAACGCTAGAGAGCACAACTCTACTCTGCACAAATGAAGTCGCCATGAGTCAGAATGGATTTGTCAGTAACTAACGAAGATAAAACATGGTATTCAGGACTGAGACACTTTCCAACTGATGTTGCTCCCATGTACTCAAAGCCCTGTGGTGCAAATGGTTAAGCACTCAGCTGCTATCCAAAAGATTGGCAGTTTGAACCCTCCAGCAGCTCCGCAGGAGAAAGATCTGGTGATCTGCTTTCATAAAGATTACAGCCAAGAAAACCCCATGGGGCAGTTCTACTCCGTCACACGGGATTGCTATGAGTCAAAATTGACTCGGTGGCACCCAACAACAATGCAAAGAAAATGACCTATGACCTGGAAGTTAAGGGAACCAGCACGATCTTTGGGGCTGCAGAGGTGAAGAGGATAGTGCTGCCTATCTACACAACATTCTTTCTGCTTGGTCTCTATCCTACACACTGTCCAGGTGCACACTCTTCACAGTACCCATGGGATGCTAGGAAGGTGACACCTCCTTCGAGAGCTGTTTTCTAATTCATCGAAAGTCCAACACGAAAAACCAAACCCATTACTCCACGAGCTTCCTTGGCTGTAATCTTTTTTCTTTTCAGAATTTGAGATTTTTAAAATTTTTTTATTTTTTACCAAATACGGTTTCGTTGCTTACATTTTATTTTGTTGTTGTTGTGAATATACACAGCAAAACATACACCAATACAACAGTTTCTACATGTACAATTCAGTGACATTGATTACATTCTTTAAGTTGTACAAGCATTCTTACCCTCCTTTTCTGAGTTGTTCCTCCCCCATTAACATAAACTCACTGCCCTTACGTTTCCTATCTAATCTTTCAAGCTGCTGTTGTTTAATATCTTTTAAGAGATATTAAAAGAGCATAATGCTCAAGGAAGTCATTTTTTACTAGTTAAGCTAAACTATTGCTTTGTTTTAAGGAGACTTCAGGGGACATTTCTGGTTTAAGGTTTACAGAGTATCTTGGGGCAATAGTTTCAGGCATTCATCTAGCCTTCATGGCTCCAGAAAGTCTGGACTCCATGAGAAGTTCTCTTCTATATTTTGTCGCCTTTGATCAGGATTCTTCTACAGAATCTTTGATCAAAATGTTCACTAATGGTATTGGCTGTAATCTTTACGGAAGCAGATTTCCAGGTCATTTCTTCCATGGTGCCACTGGGTGGGTACAAACCACCAAACTTTAGGTTAGTTGTTCTTGTTAGGTGCTGTCGAGTAGGGTCTGACTCATAGCAACCCTATGTACAACAGAACGAAAACACTGCCCCGTCCTGCACCATCCTCACAATCGTTGTTATGCTGGAGCCCATTGTTGCAGCCAGTGGGTCAGTCCATCTCATTGAGGGCCTTCCTCTTTTTCGCTGACCCTCTACTTTACCAAGCATGATGTCCTTCTCCAGGGACTGGCCCCTCCTGATAACGTGCATATGAGACAAAGTCTTGCCATCGTTGCTTCTAAGGAGCATTCTGGCTGTACTTCTTCCAAGACAGATTTGTTCGTTTTTCTGGCAATCCATGGTATGTTTAATACTCTTCACCAAAACCATAATTCAAAGGCATCAATTCTTCTTTTGTCTTCCTTATTCACTGTCCAGCTTTCACATGCATATGAGGCAACTGAAAACACCATGGCCTGGGTCAGGTGCACCTAAGTCCTCAAAGTGACATCTTTGTTTTTTAACACTTAAAGAGGTCTTTTGCAGCAGATTTGCCCAACGCAATGCAATGTTCCATTTCTTGACTGCTATTTCCATGGGCGTTGATTGTGAATCCAAGTAAAATAAAATCTTTGACAACTTCAATCTTTTCTTGGCTTATCATGATGTTGCTTATTGGTCCAGTTGTGAGGACTTCTGTTTTATGTTGAGGTGCAATGCATACTGAAGGCTGTGGTCTTTGATCTTCATCAGTAGGTGCTTCAAGTCCTCTTCACTTTCAGCAAGCAAGGTTGTGTCATCTGCATACTGCAGGTTGTTAATGAGTCTTCTTCCAATCCTGATGCCCCATTCTTATGCATATAGTCCAGCTTCTCCGATTATCTGCTCAGCATACAGACTGAATAAGTATGGTGAAAGGATACAACCCTAACACCCACCTTTCCTGACTTTAAACCACACAGTATCCCCTTGTTTTGTTTGAATGACTGCCTCTTGGTCTATGTATAGGTTCCTCATGAGCACAATTAAGTGTCCTGGAATTCCTATTCTTCGCAATGTTACCCATAATTTCTCAAGATCCACACAGTCGAATGCCTTTGCATAGTCAACAAAACACAGGTAAACATCTTTCTGGTATTCTCTGCTTTCAGCCAAAATCCATCTGACATCAGCAGTGATATCCCTGGTACCACATCCTCTTCTGAATCTGGCTTGAATTTCTGGCATTTCCCTGTCGATGTACTGCTGCAGCCACTTTTGAATGATCTTCAGCAAAATTTTACTTGTGTGTGATATTAATGATATCGTGTGATAATTTCTGCATCCTGTTGGATCACTTTTCTTTGTAATGGGCACAAACATGGATCTCTTTCAGTTGGTTGGCCAGGTAGCTATCTTCCAAATTTCTCGGCATAGACAAGTGAACACTTCCAGTGCTGCATCAGTTCGTTGAAACATCTCAATTGGTATTCCATCAATTCCTGGAGTCTTGTTTTTTGAAAATGCCTTCAGTGCAGCTTGGACTTCTTCCTTCAGTATCATCAGTTCTTGATCATTTGCTACGTCCTGAAATGTCTGGATGTCGACCAATTCTTTTTGGTACAGTGATTGTGTATTCCTTCCATCTTCTTCTGATGCTTCCTGCGTCATTTAATATTTTCCCCATAGAATCTTTCAATATTGCAACTTGAGGCTCGAAATTTTTCCTCAGTTCTTTCAGCTTGAGAAATGCTGAGCGTGTTCTTGCCTTTTAGTTCTCTAACTCCAGGTCTTTGCACATTTCATTATAATACTTTACTTTGTTTTCTTGAGCTGCCCTTTGAAATCTTCTGTTCAACTCTTTTATTTCATCATTTCGCTTTAGCTATTCTACGTTCGAGGCAAGCTTCAGAGTCTCTTCTGACATCCATTTTGGTCTTTTCTTTCTTTCCTGTCTTTTTAACGACCTCTTGCTTTCTTCATGTATGATACCCTTGATGTCAATTCTACAACTTGTCTCCAGTCATTAGTGTTCAATGTGTCAAATCTGTTCTTGAGATGGTCTCTAAATTCAGGTAGGATATATTCAAAGCTGTACTTTGACTCTCGTGGACTTGTTCTATTTTCTTCAGCTTCAACTTGAACTTGCATATAAGCAATTGGTCTTTTCTGCAGTCAGCCCCTGGCCTTGTTCGAACTGATGATACTGAGCTTCTTCATTGTCTCTTTCCACAGATGTAGTCAATTTGATTCCCAAGTATTCCATCTGGCAAGGTCCATGTGTAGAGTTGCCATCAATGTTGATGAAAAAAATGTATTTACTATGAAGAACTCATTGGTCTTGCAAAATTATATCATGCAATCTCTGGCTTTGTTTCTATCACCAAGGCCATATCTTCCAACTACTGTTTCTTCTTCATTTCCAACTTTCACATTCCAATCATCAGTAATTATCCATGCATCTTGATTGCATGTTGGGTCCATTTCAGACTGCAGAAAGTTGGTAAAAAATCTTCTACTTCTTCATGTTTGGCCTTAGTGGTTGGTGTGTAAATTTGAGTAACAGTTACATTAACTGGTCATCCTTGTAGATGTACAGATATCATCCTATCATTGACAGTGTTATATTTCAGGATAGGTCTTGAAATGTTCTTTTTGATGATGAATGCAATGCCATTCCTCTTCGTTATTCTTGGCATAGTAAATCATATGACTGTATGATTCAAAATTGCAAATATCAGTCTATCAGCTCATTAATGCATAGGATATCAATGTTTATGTGTTCCATTTCATTTTTGATGATTTCCAATTTTTCCTAAATTCATACTTCATACATTCCACGTTCCGATTCTTAATGGATATTTGCAGCTGTTTTTTCCCATTTTGAGTCAAGCCACATCAGCAAATGAAGGCCCCAAAAGCTTGGCTCCATCCACGTCATTAAGGTCAACTTTACTTTGAGGAGGCAGCTCTTCTTCAGTCATATTTTGAGTGCCTTCCAATCTGAAGGGCTCATCTTCCGGCATTTTATCTGACATTGATCTACTGCTATCCATAAGGTTTTCGCTGGCCAACTTTTTCAGATGTAGACTGCCAGGTCTGTGTTAATCTGGAAGCTAAGCTGAAGCCAGTCCACTATAGGTGACTCTGCTAGTATTTGAAATATTGGCAGCATATCTTCCAGTACCTCAGCAACATGCAAGCCACCACAGTAAGATAAATCGAGCACTAACCTTGATTAGGTTAATAATCAAATGAATGCATTCACAACACCCAGGGACCTATAATCTAAGTCAGTGTGTCTCCACCACCCTGTCCATCAGAACCACTGGGCAGGCCTGGTTCTGCCCAAAGAACAAGGGAAACTAAATCTCTGGAGGTGAGGCAAGGAAAGCCATAGTTTTGAAAGCTCCACAGGTGATTCTGGGGCCCAGGAAGGGTGAAAAGTACCAGTCTTCACAACTTGGAAATGACATTGCCTGATTGCTAGTAGTCATTCGGAAGAGAAAGCCTTAAAGTCCCTGGGTGGTGCAAACAGTTTGTGTTCGGCTGGTAACTGGTCGTTTGAACCCACCTATCCAACAGCACCATGGAAGAAAGGCCTAGCTATATTCTTCTGTAAAGACTGCAGCCTAGAAAACCCTATGGAGAAGTTCTACTCTGACACACGTGGGGGTGCCATGAGTTGGAGTCAACTCAATGGTAACTGGTTTTTGGCTTTATTCTTTCATTCATTATGCAAATATTGATTAATGACCTTAGTATAGACTAGTCACTCTTGGCTCTTGGATATCCTAGAAACAAAATTCTGAGCAACTCTTCTGTGAGGGAAGACTACCTAGTAACATCTGAAAGAAAGAAGAAAAGGTGAATATTGGCCTCTTGGAAGACTCTTTGTCTGAAAAATGGAGGTTGCCTCTGTTTGTCCTTGGGTAGCTATCATGGATTGAATTGTGTTCCCTAAAAATGTGTGCTAACTTGGCTAGGCCATGATTCCCAGTATTGTGTGGTTGTCCACCATTTTGTCATCTGATATTGTCCTGCTGTTGTAAATCCTAACCTCTACAATGTTAATGAGGCAGAGTTAGAGACAGTTATGTTAATGAGGCGGGACTCAATCTAGATTATATCTTGAGTCAATTTCTTTTGAGATATTGTAAAAATGGCATGGGGGCAATGTCTGACCTCTTCTAATTTCACAAGGGGGAAGGAGAACTAAGATCAACAGGCTAAGGGTGATTCCTGTGAGGCGGAGGTCAGGCATACCTTCTCTGTCCACCATCTTTACCAATTATGACACCAACTGTCCCTCCCATGACACTCTATGCTTCTCTGCTGGGTTCGATAATTCATTGCAATGGCCACACAGAACTCGCAGACAATAGTCAGGATCATTGGGTTTATTAGGGAAGTAACAGTCACAATTCAGGCTCAGGAAGACTCAAGGTTACAGTTCTTCCATCAGGACAGGCTCTTCTCAGCCATGCTTGCAGGCATGCCTCTCCCTGGCCCTAGGCGTCTACTGGAAGGCACTGAGCTTTCCTGCTCCATTGGCTAGGAAGCCCACTGCGCTGTCTCTTGCTGCCAGGTCTCTGCTGCCAGGTATCTCCCCTGTCACTGCTTCTCACTGTCTTCAGGTTACAGGTTGCTCTCTCTCTAAGTCTCCTGCTTCCAGGAGCTTCTCAGCACAGGGATCCTGGGACCAAAGGACATGCTGGCTCCTGGCTGTTCTTCCTTGGTGGTGGTGGGTTCTTTTCTTTCCTGCCTCTAGCGTGGCTCATTTCAAGCTCAGTGGGATGGCAAAACTGTCCAATCCCTTTGGTGAACCACAATTATCCTATCACACAGTACCACCCAATCGCTTGAGTGGGAGTTACAACACCATGGCTAGAAAGGACACACAAAAGTGATCATCATGCTGCAGGTATAAAAGAGAGAAGCAGGCAGAGAGACAAAGGGACCTCCTACCACCAAGAATGAAGAACCAGGAAGGGAGCACGCCCTTTGGACCTGAGGTTCCTGCGCTGAGAAACTCCTAGACCAGGGGAAGAATGATGACAAGGACCTTCCCCCAAAGGCGATAGAGAAAGCCTTTCCCTGGAGCCGGCACCTGAATTCAGACTTCTAGCCTCCGAGACTGTGAGAGAATAAATTTCTGTTAGTTATAGCGGCACTAGATAACTAAGACAGTGACACAAACAGTTAATGTGCTTAGCTGCTAGCCAAAAGGTTGGCGGTTAGGGCCCACCCAGAAGCTCCATAGAAGAAAGACCTGGCAATCTGCTTCTGTAAAGATTACAGCCAAGAAAACTACGGAGTAGTTCCATTCTGTTAACACATGGCATCTCTTAAGTCACAAATCAACAATAAAATCAACAACAAAAAACAATGGAAGAGAAAGTCTTAATTCTGAGGTGGAAGAAAAAGGTGAGCAAGAGGGTCCCCTGCCCCAGTCACTGCTCAACATCTGGTGGCCCCGTGAGTGACCCAGACATGGACATTCTGCCCTTGGGTTCTGTAAGAAACATCCAAATCCTTCCATGAGGGGACCACGTTTCTTAACCAATGGTCTCTGAGGGATAAAAAGGGACAGCAGGCAGGAGGAGGTGAGACCAGACTCAGTAGATACTGTGCAGACTAGGGCAGAACTCCAGAGGAATGCTCCACCAGCCAGGCCTGGATGAAGAGGACAGAATCAAGAAGGGAGGCTGCAATGAGACCAGAAGAACTGGATGGTGCCCAGCTACCAATACTGAACATTTAGATCAATGATTCTATGGAATAATCCTGATCAAATTGGGGTAAAACACGGAACAGAATTTTCAAATTCTTACAGAATCCAGACTTTCTGGAGCCATGGAGGCCGATGATCCCCTGAAACTACTACCCTGAGGAAATCTTGAGCTGAAACTGTCCCATGAAGTCATCTTTGAACCAAAAAATAGTTTAGCCTGACTAGAAAAGAATGTCTGCATTAAGCACACTATATTCTGCGTCTTAGGCTGGGTTCTCTAAAGAAGTAAGACCAGTGAAGCATATTATATATATGTATGGGGGGAGGCCGAGGAAGGAGGGAAGGAAAGGAGGGGAGGGGGGATGAAAGGGGAAGGGAGGAAGAAGGGGAGAAGGAAGGGGAGGGATGGAGAAAGGGAGAGAGAGATTTATATTAAGGAAATGGCTCACGCAGTTGTACAGGCTGGAAAATCCCAAGTTTGTGGGTCAGGCATCAGGCTGGAGGCTTCTCCTGACTCAAGAAGCTGCAGGGGCTGATGAACCCAAGATCAGCAGGTTAGCTAACAGGCTGCTGGCTCGTGGGCTGCGAAGGCTAACAAATCCAAGATCGGCAGGTAAGATGGCACACTGCTGGCTCAGGTCCCAAGAACCGAAGGTCAGATGATGATGGGCGGAATGCAGGATCCATAGCAGAGCAAAAGTCGGCAAGCTCTACCAAAAAGTCCGAGCCAAGCTGACAAACAACCTTAACCATCACACTCTTTTAAATAATTATCTATATGTGATCAAATTGACAACAGCAACTTGAAAGGATAGATGAGAAGCTTAGGGGGGCAGTGAGTTTGTGTTAATCATGGTGAAATAGTTTGGGAAAGGTTGTTGAGAAAGGTGGCACAACTCGAAGAATATAACTAATGTCACTAAATTGTACATGTAGAAATTGTTGAAGTGGTGTATGTTTTGTTGAGTATATTTTCACCAATGAATAAACAGGTAGATAGATAATAGATAGATTATAGATAATAGACAAATAGATGATAATAGATAATAGACAAATAGCTGATAGATAATAGATACACAGACAGTAGATAGACAGATGACAGGGAGATAGGTAGGCAGGTACACAGGCAGACAGACAGGTAGAACAGATAGACAAATAGAAAAAAAATAAAGAAGGGAGGCTGTGCATCCCCCACCCGGGAGAGAGGTGAGGTCTTACCCAGTGAGATGCTGAGCCTCCAGGTCTCGAGCATCACCTCCTGGTACAGGCTCCTCTGCGCCGGGCTCAGCAGCCCCCACTCCTCCTTGGTGAAGGTCAAGACCACATCCTCAAAGGTCACCGATGATTCCTAGAAAGTCAAACAGAGGCAGCATAGTGGGTTTGGGGCTGCTAGATAGGAACAGTCACTGTCACTCCATTACTGGACAAGGTGCAGAGAGATTCAACGCCCAGGTAACAGAACATCTCTCGATGCCGACCTGTGTGCTGGGCTGAGAAAGGAGGCAGATGCTGCCCCTGACGGAATCCAATGGGAGTGTGGGAGAAAGAAGCCTCCTACACAAGAAACCTTTGGGGAACAACAGGAGGGTAGGACAGCCCCATGTGGGCTGTGAGGGGCAGACAGTAAGTGTTCTGGGACGTCAGACTCTCCTGTTATCCAATTTTTCCACGACCACAGGCAACTACCAGTCCCATCCACCCTCATGCCAGATACTTGACCCTAGAACCTCAGACTTACAGCCTAGAAGGAAAGGGTGAGTTACAGGTAGGAAAGCTGTTGATGTTGCACCCAGTCACATTTGTAGACTTTTCAAGTTATGCCATGGTTATCTGATGTTTCAACTTTTTATGTTATTGTTGAGTGAAATTAAGTAATTTATATTGTGTAGAAAATCTTTCATGTTATCGAGATGTTCACATCTGGGAAATGATGACTCCAACAATGCCAGCAACAGGAGCCGGGCTTCACTGGTCCTCTGTGTGTGTCCGCCCTAAGCTGAGGGTTTTCCCACTCAGGAGCCAGACTCCCGGGTTTGACTCCAGCCTCTCAAATCGGGAACTGGGCAGCTGTATGATCTTGGGGAAGTCATCTCACTTCTTTGAGTCTCAATTTCTGCATCAATACACAACAAAGAGTCCTCACTTCAGCAAATGGTTGTAAGAATTAAAGCAAACACGTTCACAGAGCAAACACGGGAGTGCCCGGCTCCTGCTGGTGATGGATGCACCTTGCTTGGTTTCTTTTATTCATCCTTCCATAAACCAAACCAAGGAGCCCTGGTGGTGCTGTGGTTAATCAATCAGTTGCTAATTAAAAGGCCAGTGGTTTGAACACACCAGCCGCTCCATGGGAGAAAGATGTGGCAGTCTGCTCCTGTAAATATTACAGCCTTGGAAACTCTATGGAGACATTCTACTCTGTTCTATACGGTCACTATGAGTCAGAACAACAAACAACATAAAACAAACCAGTTGCTTTTGAGTTAGTTACAACTCGTGGCAACCCCATATGTGCAGGGTAGAATTGCCCCATAGGGCTTTCAAGGCTGTAAATGTTTACAGAAGCAGACTCCACATCTTTCTCCTGTAGAGTAGCTGTGTCAAACTGCCAACCTTTCAGTTAGCAGCCAAGTGCTTAACTACTGTGCCACTAGAGCTCCTTATGTAGTAGTAGAGATGCTTTATTCTGGCACTCAACAGTTCTGGGGCTCCGTTCTCCAGACCTCTCCCAAAAATATAATCCCAGTTTTCTGTATGGCATGTAAGGTTCTTAATTGAGGGACCTGGCTTTGTGTGAGTCACACTCCCTTCCGTTACCCAAAGCATTGCCCCTTAATTTCTACCTGTTCTATACATTTGGAAATCCATACACAAGGTTTTCTCTAAATAAAACCAGTTGCCTTTGAGTTGATTCCAACTCATGGTGACCCCGTGTTTGCAGAGTAGAACTGTTCCATAGAATTTTCAAGGATGTGATCTTTCAGAAGCAGACTGCCAGGCCTTTCTTCCTAGGCACCTCTGGGTAGTTCTGAACCACTGTCCTTTCAGTTAGCAGCTCAGCGCATAACCAACTGTACCACCAGGGACTCCCAATCCTTCTCCATCCATGAGATGAATGCCACCATCAGCTCCTTGTCTGCGGTATGATGGATTGTTTTTGAATGGCCTCTCTCGACATGATCTTGTAACTCCCACCCAAGAGATGAGGTACGACTGTGCAAATAGGGTAATTGTGGCCCACCAAGGGCATTGGTCAGTTCTGCCATTCGCTGGGCTTGAAATAAGCCATCCCAGATGCGGGAAAGAGAGGATCCCACCACCACCAGGGAAGGACAGCCAGGAGTGAAGCACATCCTTTGGACCTAGGATCCCTGCACTGAGACACTCCTGGAACCAGGGGACAGAGAAAGAGAGAGAGAGCTATAACACTGAAGATGGCAAGAAGCGGTGGCAGAGAAACAGCTGCAGGAGAGACCAGCAGGAGACGGTGTGGTGGGCTTCCTGGCCAATGGAGTGAGAAAGCTGAGTGCCTTTGGGACGAGGCTTACTGGCAGAGTTGGGTGCTTCTGGGCACTTATTGGTGGAGCTAAAAGAGCTTTGTAACACTTGCCTGCACAGGACTGAGGCCAAACGACCAGAGGGAGGTGTGCCTGTGGCTCGCCTGGGAAGAGGCTGTCCTGATGGAAGAACTGCATCCTGAGTGTTCCTGAGCCTGAATTGTAACCTGTTACTTCCCTAATAAACCCCATAATTGTAACTATTGTCCATGAGTTCTGTGTGGCCACTGAAACGAATTACCAAACCCAGCAGAGAAGTAGAGAGTGCCATGGGAGGGACAGTTGGTGTCAGAATTGGTAGAGATGGCAGAGAGAGAGAGAAGGCATGTCTGGCTTCTACCTCACAGGAATCAGCCTTGGACTGTTGATCTTAATTCTCCTTCCCCCTTGTGGAGTTAGAAGAGAGGGGATGCCGTCCCCACGCCGTTTTCACAACTGGCATCAGAAGCAGGATTTGTTACAATGGCTCCAAGCTCATGCAAGCTTGGGACTTTATAAGAGAAAGAATGAAGGGGCTTTGGAAGTGAAACTTTTCTTAGGTGGTTACTTTGGTTGTTGAGGGGAGAAAAGCCGCATCTAGAGTGGCCTGGGACAAAAGCCAGGCCAGACAAGCAGAATGATTGATAGGGGGGCAGGGTCTACTGATTCCACCCAGCCAGAGGCCCAAGACCATACGCATATAAATGGGAAAATCATTAAGGTATGGAGAAGATGAAACTGGAATGTTTTAAAAAAGGGTTATATGTTTCTCTGAATATACTGTGGATATTGACCTAGTATTGCAAAGCAGACCTAAATGTATGACAGAAACGAATACCGGGTATTACAGATTACATAAAGCATGTAACTCTGCCTTCAGCCAATACTTGATTTGGTATGCTAAAAGGGGAACGAGAGTTGCCAAAGAAACACAGGCTGTTTGAATGCAGTAGCCCTGTGTATACCTGAGCCCCAGGGGAACTCTTTGGAAGTCAGGAAATTTGTATTTGAAAAGACACGCAGAACCACAACAGCTCTGAGACAACAGAAAATATGCATTTGAAGGAAGGACCTGCAGAAGAAAAAAGTGACTGTTTTGCTTTTTGAATTTCCAGCAAGCAGTTTGTAGTTGGATGCATCCAGGCAGAAAAAGTCACTGTCTATCAGAAGGAACCTCCTTCCCGGACTGGAAATGAAAGGGAGCTGGTGAGTAGACAGCTTGGTATGCTTGTAGTGACCACCTGAGTCCACTCAATGAGTGGAAGTGGGGTAAAACGCAGCAATGAAGAGATGGGCAGAGTTTGGACATGTTCCACTGGCACCCGTTGACTCAGCCAACAAAGGCTAGGGATGAGAGGGAGACAGGAGGGGCTGGCTGGTCAGAAATAAAAGGAGTTGTATGGACTCCTGAGTTTACGGTGAAACCCACAGACCTACCCCAAGGGGGCTAGGGATGAAAGAGTGGGAAGGGGCTGTCTGAAGTGCTGGGAGGTGTGCATGAACTCTCAAGTCTAAAGCTGCTACCCACTGTGACCTAACTGAATGGTTAGAGATAAGCTGACCAGAACACAACCAAATGAAGAGAAAGATATTGACGGTGTGAGCTGGTGTACATTGCTGCAATTTGATGGCTTGCTTTGGACTGGACTTTGCTTATGAATGCAGATCCTCAAAGTTCCAACAGGAACAGAAGATTCTTTGAAACCAAGGAACATGCTTATCTCCTCAGAACACTGGTTTGATTGGGACGGCCAATTTAAAAAGTGGCTATCTAAAACAAGGGGAGATAAAAAAAATCAAGTGACTGGCTTACATGCTTTTTGGGGTATGCTTATACTCAGAATGAGAGGGACAAGGGAGGATCCCCACTGAATAGATTCCTCTTTTCCTGATGGGTCTGCAGAAGGCGGGGGGGAATGCTGATAATTTATATAATTCAGCTGTGAGTGTTGATTGTTAACAGGGTTAACTGTGACTGTAAAAACTAATTGTAGAAGCTATAACTGTGACAGAGTGGAACTAAGGGGTAGGCACTGATGGACTGGAGCACAGTGGTTGAATCCAAAGTCCCTTAAAGGTTTTGCTATGCTGCTACCTCTTGAGGCTCAGAGCAAGGGAATAATCTTGTCTCAGTTAAATTTTATCAGAGACCAGAAAGGATGAAGCTGAGATGACTTCTGGAAAACCTGACTAGATCGGGTGGATGCCTGCAGCAGACCTGAAAGGCTGGTACCTGAGTAACTTCACCCTGAGAACTCTTTTGCCTACTGAAGGACTAATTGTTAATGACAGTTTTCGACTGGTAAAATGATTGACAGGGGGAAGTTATCCTCCAAGTATGAAAGAACCAAGGCTAGAAAAGTGAAGGGATGGTCTGTAGTGCAAGGGATCACTTTTGTGTGGCCTTTCTCACCATGGTCTTGTAACTTCCATGCAACTGATTAGATGAGACTGTGCAAATAGGGTTATTGTGGCCCACAGGGGGATTGGTCAGTTTTGCCATCCTGTCAGGCTTGAAATGAGCCATCCCAGAGGTGGGAAAGAGAGGATCCCACCACCACACCAAGGAAGAACAGCCCGAGCAGAGCGCGTCCTTTAGACCTGCGATCCCTGTGCTGAGCTGCTCCCGGAACCAGAAGACAGAGACAGAGAGAGAGCTGTAACACTGAAGATGGTGAGAAATGGCAGCAGGAGAGACCGGCAGGAGATGGTGCAGCGGGTTCCCAGCCCACAGAGCGAGAAAGCTGAGTGCCTTTGGGCCGAGGCTTACTGGTGAAGTGGGGTGCCTCTGAGCACTTATTAGCAGAGCCAG